CCCCCCCCCCCCCCCCCCATGCCTCCTGTGGCCCTGTCCTACTCCCTGTCTGGGCCCTGCAGCTGCATGTTCCAGCCCTGGGGTCCCAAGCCCCACGCATCACCTCTACTGGGCAACAGCTCCAGCCCCAGCCCTTCCCAACTTCCTCCCTCACTATACGGGCCTCAATTCCCACCCCCTCCGCCACCAGATTTATCTGTGGGGAGCTGCCTCGTATCCATATGCATGTCTATGTGCGTGCATGCACATGGCACCCTCTGCAGGTTGCCCTTCTGTTCCACCAGCCGCTTGCAGGCTGGAAGTCTGCCAGCCTGCAAGGGGAAAATTTCCTGTGGGTTTTTTTCTCCTTTAAAGGAGAGAACCTGGGTTTTACTGCATCTTTCTGTGCCAAACAGAAAATCCAGGTCCCTGGTAATAATAGAGGCGTGGTCATAGTTGGACTGAAGAGCTGCCAGGAATTGAAGCAAATATTTGCCATTTTTGTGGTATACCATTAGCTTTAGGCTAAAGGGGAAAGAAAGCAATTTATCCAGCTTTCTGACTGTTATTGGCCATAGCTCCTAGGTGAGAAATGAAGAACATCCCTTTTGATGGGTTTATATTAATTACTGGACTTTTCCCTTACTGTTCAAAATGCAGCATAGGAATGACCAGTCTTGCTTCTAAAAAACAAAAAAGCAACTCAGTGATTGATGTGAGTGTGTTCTCCAGAAGATTGTGTCATTCCTGTCTTGAGGAAAGAATGATAGTGCAAGTTGGCCACAAAATGAGAAATACTTGCATTTTTATAAAATGATCCTTTTTTTTTTCCCTCCCAGCTGCCTTTTTGTGCTCCAGTTGTACTGGCCCAGTCTGTTGAAAATGTCTGGACTACTTGCAGGGTCAACAAACAGAAGCGCCATTTACTGGAGGCACTGTGGCTCAGCTGTGGTGGATCAGGTATGAAAGTCTGGCTTCCTTTGTTTCCCAGAGATCACCGAAAACCACATTCCTTTCTATCAAGACGGATCATGCTGCCCTTCCACATCAATATATACCCTTTGGCTGTTCTGTTTGAAGATGCCTTGGTTCTTGGTGCTGTTAATGACACTGTGCTCTATGACTGTTTATACAATCAAAGCAGTGCACAAGAACATTTGGAGGTCCTCTTTCCTTTCTGCATTGTTGAGAGAACCTCTCAGATCTACCTCCATCACATCTTACGCCAGCTTTTGGTTAGGAACCTAGGTGAACAAGCCTTGCTTTTGGCCCACTCCTGTGCCACGTTACCTTACTTTCCTCATGTGCTAGAACTGATGCTTCATGAAGTGCTGGAAGAAGAAGCTACCTCGCGGGAGCCCATTCCCGACCCTCTCCTTCCCACTGTGGCTAAGTTCATTACAGAGTTCCCCCTCTTCCTGCAGACAGTTGTTCATTGTGCTAGGAAGACTGAATATGCTCTGTGGAATTACCTTTTTGCTGCTGTTGGAAACCCGAAGGACTTATTTGAGGAGTGCCTAATGGCCCAAGACTTGGACACAGCTGCCTCCTACCTTATTATTCTACAGGTAATAGTATCCTGTCTCTCATTACAAAAGAAAAGTGGCATTTTACCATCTAGCATGCATCTTGCTTTTGTTTAAAAACAATCATTGCCCAACAAAAATGGGTTTGGCATAAGTTATTTAACTAACTTATGTAACAAACTTCTTTGGCTGGGGAAATACCCTTAGCTGTATCTGTTCTGTTTTGGGGGTGGTTGAAAGAAAACCACCTTTGATTTGGTATGTCACAGAAAAATGAAAAACCACAGTACAAAACATGGTATAGCCGTATCTGACATTCTTGAGCCTACTTCTGTGTGTGGAGCTGGACTCCAAAAGTGATTTGCAAAGTAGATGACTTTATGTGCTTTGTGTTGTAGAACATGGAAGTTCCAGCAGTTAGCAGACAGCATGCCACTCTTCTGTTTAACACTGCTCTGGAGCAAGGGAAGTGGGACCTTTGTCGTCACATGATCAGATTTCTTAAAGCCATTGGCTCTGGAGAATCAGAGACACCCCCAGCAACACCTACACCTCAGGTTTGCTAGGCAGATCATCAATATTGCATGTCAGCCACTAAATGTTATGATCCTCACCTACAACCATTATACCTAAGCATGTTTACTTCATTTGGTCATGCTTTATTTTTGCTGTTTTTATTGTAGGAACCCAGCCCAAGTGGTGGCTTTGAGTTTTTCAGACATCGTAGCATTAGTTTATCCCAATCAGGAGAAAATCTTCCATCTAGCAAATTTAACCTACAAAAAACACTAAGCATGCCCTCTGGCCCATCTGGAAAAAGGTAATGTTTATGTTGCAGTACGATTAGAATGGTCTGCCTGCAGTCTTGGCTACTGTATGTAGTCCCTGTCCTCTATGCACACTGTTTACACTGTACCAAAGCTTATAGTTTTAAGACAAAGGGTTTGTTCTCTTGTTTGTTCTCCTGCATTTTAGGTTATTCTGTTCTTTCATTTTAAGCTGCCCTGAGCCTTTGTTAGGTTGGGCAACATTTAAATTGACTTAAATACGCTAATAATGGGTTGAATGAAGCTTAAGCATTATAAGGCTCCCAATTAAGTCCCAGGCACTGAAACTGCAAAATCATCATCCATTTAAAGAGACCTATTTCTAGCACTTATGAGTGGTACAACACATTAGAAAGTGTGAACAAAATATCACTTTCGAGTCCAGGCATAGTGGTAGCCCAAGCATGCACAAAATGACATGTTCATTTTAACTGTGAAACCTGTTGCTTCGGTCAAAGGTGACCTCAGCCAGTCCTTATAGTAGGTGTATAGAAACCTGGATTGTCTGAATTAGCCCCGGCACCAGTGGTTGAGAGACCTTGAACATTCTGAGATTTCAGATTTCTGGAGGTTCTTATGTGGCACTTGCATACCTGATTATCATAGATCATATTATCTCATGCTGAGGGATACATTTTTCCTCCATTTGCTTTTGCTGTGACCAGTATGTCTTACAGAAAGGTTTTAGACGGTGTTTCAGCTTTGAGCTCTTCCAGTCCTACCTCAAAACTGTAAAACTTCTGAGCCTGATGACAGGCTGAGTCAAAATTACAAGACTTCACTGGAGCTAGTTGCATAGCTGGATGCAGTCAATGTCAGCCAGGCAGAGACTGCTGGGAAGTGTTGGTATGTCATGCCAGCAATGGTTCCGTACTCGCCAAAATGTGGATCCGGCAAAGGGGATTCCCCTCTTCCATCTGTCTTGAGCTGGGAAGCCCATATAAATACAGGACCCAAGGACGGTTTTCAGGTATGCATTGTGCATTTGAGCTAGTCAGAACTTGCCAAATATTTCTGGAAGAGATCTGTAGTCAGTGCTGACAGACAAAGCAACTGCCCTGTTATATGTAAACTAAGGGCATCCAAGATGCTTCCCCCTGACACTGCTGCTACTTGTCTTGCTGCCAAGTTAAGACATCCACAGCACAGAGCTATGTCAGTGAGCCTTGGGGGCTGCCCATGGGCTGGAAGTTTGTTGGTGGGAGGAGTGGCAGTTGCCACGGTTCTGGAGGCTGTGGCAATTAATGCTGTTCCTTGCCTCGCCACCAGACTTCCAGCCCTGCTGACCGGATGACCTGGCTCCTCACTACTCATCTGGCCCACGGGGCTGGGTGAGTTTGACACAGAGGGCCAAAATCTTCCCCACTATCTCAGGAGGCAGTACAGTTTCATAATCTAGTATCCACATCAAGAAACATTGCTTACAGGGATTGTCTTTTTTGTTTCCTCAGAACATAGTTTGAAAACCATTGCTCTAAAAGGCTTTTCCTCTACTAAAGGAAAGCTGTACATGGGTCTCTAAATTTACTTCTATTAGACCTCATAGGTTCACCTTTTATGTCTTTACCACATGTGGTTTGTTCCATGTCTCCATCAAGATATCACTGTTAGGGGCCATAAGCTCTAATTGCAGGCCTCTCAGGTATTGTTTTCCATAGGGCATAAAGTATGCCTGAAACCACATCCCAGTTCTTTACCAAAGGTGGTTTTTGAATTTCATTTATAACACACCTTCCTGCCATCATTTTTCTTGGAGCAGCAGTTAAATAGAAAGGAAGAAATTACTTGTTGGACATGTATAGGTACTTTTAATTTTATATGGACGAACTGATCATTTTGGGAAGTCTCCCAGATTTTGTAGTATACGGAGATGGGGTTAAAAGCAAAGTTATTCTTAAAACTGGTTGAACCTCTTCTGGGACAGACTTTAAGGGCTAGACAGTAGATGCCAACCTTGAAAAGTAACTTTGACAAGTTCAGTCTACTTTAGTAGAAGAAATGCAGGGACAGCATGATTTTCATATGTATATTGCCCCTGAAGGCTAGTTAAATAAAATAAAATGAATAAAATGCCTGGTACCACAGCACTGTGACATTATATTGCGTGAGACTTTTACATTCTGGCCCAGGAAAATCAGGCACAGTGTCATTTAGAGAGGGATCCGTATCAGAGACAAATTTCCCTGATATTGAGTCACTGATGCTGGTTAAAGTAGACAATGAATGTGGTGTTTGAGAGCAGCCAAGATCTGTCATTTTGCCCTGAATACTTCTCACAAAGTAATCCCAGCATAAAGGCCTCTAGTGAATGACAACATGGTTCTAATAGGCTCTGTCTCTGGCAGTGTCTAAGTCATGGCTCTACACATCCCACTTTATACTGTTTCCTGTTCCTAATTATGTCAGCAGTACACCAAACCCTTCTCAGACTGTAGCTGGAGTCCCTATGCCTGAAACATCACTGTTCTCCAGTACTTGTATCTGAACTCTGATAGGCAAATCTGTAAAGAGCTGCTCCTTCTCCTTACTTCTTCTGAGGACTAGCTCTCATGAAGCTTTCAGCCCCTGCAGCTGATGCTACCCATCCATGTGTGTTTACAGCATTTTCTTTGTTGTACATAGCAGCGAAGACCACTAGAGAAAAGTGAACATGGGCAGCCAATGGGCAACACGGTACTGTAGAGTTGGCTCTTATCAGTGAGCCATGTGGCCTTTACTTATTTGTCAGGTTACCCTGAACTGATTCATAGATGTAGGGTTGGAAGGGACCTAAGTAGTTCTACAAGTCCGACCCCCTGCCCTGGGCAGGAGAGAATACTGGACTCATATGACCCCAGCTAGGTAACTGTCAAGCCTCCTCTTAAAGATCCCCAAGGTAGGAGCCAACACCACTTCCCTTGGAAGTTGGTTCCAGATCCTAGCAGCCCTGACTGAAATAATGTCCAGCCTGAACCTACTCTCAAACAACTTATGGCCATTATTCCTTGTTACTCCGGGAGGTGCTCAGGTGAACAGGGTCTCGCCCATTCCCTGCTGGTCCCCCCTGGTAAGTTTATAGACAGCTATCAGGTCCCCTCTCAGCCTTTTCTTGTAAGGGCTGAATGGGTTAAGGTCCCATAGCCTCTTCTGCTACGGTCTGCCCTGCTGTCCCTGGATTATGCGAGTGGCCCTCCTCTGGATCCTCTCCATGTTGTCCACATCTCTCCTAAAGTGCAGCGCCCAGAACTGGACACAGTACTCCAACTGTGGCCTGACCAGTGTTGCATAGAGGGGGAGGATCACCTCCTTGGACCTACTCGTAATGCATCTGTGGATGCATGACACGGTGTGGTTGGCCTTACTGACTGTGTCCCCAGATTGGCTGCCCATGTTCATTTTGGAATCGAGAATGACTCCCAAGATCCCTTTCTACTACTGTGCTTTTGAGAAGGGAGTTCCCCAACCTATAGGTATGCTGCTGGTTCTTACCGCCCAAGTGCAGCAACCTGCACTTGTCAGTATGGAATCCCATCCTATTCTCATTCGCCCACCCCTGTAACCTGTCCAGGTCCGGCTGTATCCTGTCCCTCCTTTCTAGCATGCCCACCTCACCCCAAATCTTGGTGTAGTCAGCGAATTTGAACAGGGTGCTTTTCACCGCCCTGTCCAAGTCACTAATAAAGAGAATGAACAGTGCAGGCCCAAGGACTGAGCCCTGGGGGACCCCACTGCCCACATCCCTCCAGGTCGAATATGACCTGTCCACCACCACTCTGGGTTTGGCCCCTCAGCCAGTTTGTGACCCATCTTACTGTGTAGGCATCAATGCCACAGTTGCCTAGTTTTTTAATGAGAATAGGGTGGGAGACAGTGTCAAAGGCCTTCCTAAAGTCCAGAAAGACTACATCGACCGCGACACCTGCATCCAATGATTTTGTGACCTGATCGTAGAAGGCAGTTGGGTTGGTCTGACAGGACCTGCCCCTAATGAACCCATGCTAGTTGCCCTGGAGCACTGTCCCCCCTGCTGGTCCTTCCCAGATGGGCTCCTGGATAATCTTCTCAAAGAGCTTCACCAGGATCGAAGTAAGACTAATGGGCCTTTAGTTGCCCAGGTCCTCCCTCTTTTGAAAGTGGGGACCACGTTGGCCTTCTTCCAGTCATCTGACACCTGGCGAGAGCACTGCGAGTGCTTGTAAAGCTGTGCCAGGGGCCCCTCGATAACCCCTGCCAACTCTGTCAGAACCGTGGGGCAGAGAGCATCTGGACCTGCTGATTTGAACAAGTCCAGCCCCTCCAGAAGTTCCCTAACTTGGTCCTCCCTGACCCTAGGCCTTGCGGAGTCTTTCCTAAGTCTGTCCTGAATCTCAGTGGGGGAGTCCTGGTCCCTGCACAAAAAAATGGAGGCAAAGAAATTGTTAAAAAGGTCTGCCTTTTCCCTTGGTGCAACCACCAGATTGCCAAGCGTATTCCGCAGGGGCCCCACGTTACCCGGTGCTTTCTTCATATTCCCTATGTATTTAAAAAAGGACTTTTTGTTGTCCTTGACCCTTGATGCAACTCCTAGTTCCGTGTCTGCCTTAGCTTTCCTGAAAGCCCCCCTACAAACCCGAGCCTATCTCTGGGTGAAGGTTAATGTAATAGAGTGGTAACAAGACTAGACTACAAACTGGATGTCATCTTCTTTGTGTGTGTTTGGCAGGTGGAGTAAGGACAGTGACTGCGCTGAGAACATGTACATTGATATGATGCTTTGGCGACATGCTCGGCGCCTGCTGGAGGAAATAAGGCTTAAAGACCTAGGCTGCTTTGCTGCACAGCTGGGCTTTGAGCTTATTGGCTGGCTGTGTAAGGAGCGAACCAGAGCTGCGCGTGTGGAGGACTTTGTGATTGCTTTGAAGAAGCTCCACAAGGATTTCCTCTGGCCATTCCCTGTCATCCCAGCTTCATCCATTAATTCACCCTTCAAGAATGGAAAGTACAAGACAGGTGCTGTACCATTCAAGTTAACTTAGACCAGTGGTCTCCAACGTTTTTAAGTAGGAGATCACCTCTGGTATTTAAAAGCAACCCAAAATCTACTGTGCACTACCACTCCCCTCTCCCTGCCCAGCAGGTAAGTCTGTGGGGAGGGAAGGGGGTGGGCAGATCGAGTGAGATTTCCCCCCCCCCGCAATCTCACTTGCTGTAAAAGTGGCCACGCCGCTTCCGGAAGTCCTGTGGCCACTTTTGCTGGCGGCCCTGCTTCTCGGCCGGCGGTCGCAGGGAGGCACCGGCCCACCCCCCTGCCCACTGGCTAAACAGGGAGTGATGGACACCCCGACGGGGCATGCACATGCACCCCTGTGGCCCCCGTACGTGTCGCCTTTACCTGTCAGTCCTGCCTTGATTCAGCTGAGCAAGGAACAGGCTGAAACAGAATAGAAGGGGTTTGTTTAAGAAGGGCTACTGTTAAACATAGCTCTTAAGTCTTCATAGTAATCCAATTATGCTCTAGTTTCTGTTTACACTTCCAGGTGCAGTAAATCAGTTGGTACAAAGAATTAGTTCAACTTTTTGTTATAAGCCACAGCAAATAACTAAAATCAGTGCATTTATGTAGTTTATCATAGACTTGGCCAGCTATTATGTTTAAAGGTGCATCTTGCTAATTGTGAAATGCATGGTAATTGTGAAAAGTGTGGTGATGAGGTTGGTAGAAATTGTGGGAATTTGCTGTAATTCATAACCATTTATTACAGTGGTGCTGTTCCATTCATTGGCATGTTACTGTATGAGATTCCTAAATGGACCTAGGTCTAATTTGTTTAGCTGAGTTCTGGTAGCGGTTTATTACCTGATGGGTTATTCTATGCTAAGTGTGTAAATACAGTGAGGGTCGTGGAAGGTTTTATAACAACCCCAACCTGGCCATTGTCTTGCTATTGTCATTTGACAGAAACTTGATCATTAAAATGTAAAGTTATGAGTTGTTTTGGCTCCTGGAGACCTTTCTGAAATAGCTTTGGAACACTAGGTGATTTTTTTTCTTGAGGCTACCTGAACGTTCTTCTTATTTCTAGCTGTTGGAGAGCAGCTGCTGAAGTCCCAGTCAGCAGACAGCTTTTTAAACATGGAAATGGATACTGGGGTTCCAAGTGCACCACGAAGTCACAGCTGGCTCGGCACGATCAGCTTATCCCAGAGAGAGATGGACACAGCTTCGTCCCATGGACCTCACATGCAGGAGGCATTCCTCTCGCCTTTGTTAAATAAAGGTAGGTGGTATTTCATTCTTTTCTGGCCTCTCTGCCCTTGGAAAACAGCATCTGAGAATGAATGTGACATTTTCCTTTCTGATATCTGCATCATAGCTGTTCTATGGTTCAGGATCCTCATGGAGAAGGACTAACTTAAAGTGTGTTAAAGGCTAATGAAGGTAAAATTCATACAGCTGTTAGAATGCCTTTCCTTACCTACATGGGTTAACACTGGCAACTAAACCTGAAGATATCAATATCCACATTTGGCTTAAGTTCAGTTTCCTTTCGGTACTTGCATAGCTTGCAAAATGAGAATGGAGTAGCCATTTTCAGTTCTCAGTCCATTTCATTGTCTTCAATTCCTGCTGAACAAATACTGCCAAGTAGTGCTCTTAATTTGTTTTTATTGTGTGTGTACGCATGCATGTGTGCCCACACCACTGGCCAAGAACCAACCACTTTTTCATTGACTTGTGTAGACAGCCTGTCATGTTCCCCACCCTCAACCAACCAACCAGTCTGTGCTGTAATTGCCTATTCCAATTTTTACTATACTGTTATAAGGAAACTGTTTTTAGGATATTTGTCACTTTTCAAGTGCCCAAGTTTTTTTTCAGTAAAAGTTTTCTAAGCAAGTACCTGTACATAGACCTCAAGAAACCTTTTATTTTCTATTTAAAGGAAACATTAATAAAGTGTTTGAAAGGTATTGAAGAGAATTGGGGATTGTCTTCTCATTTGTTCTGGTGGTTTGGGTCTCATGTCATGACTCTCCTCTCCCCTCAGTGGGGGGCTTCTGTCTGCAGTGCCTTCTGAAGTCTTCCATGTGGTTTTTCATTTCTCTGTCACATCCTCCCCAACAATGGCGAGAATCCTGTCCTTGTGGTACTTTCAGCTTTTAATGGCTAGATCAAAATATTGGTACCACTGTATGTGACAGTGGACTGTTCTCTTCAGCCATGAATTTGCTGGGTCTCTTTACCCCTTTCTGCTTCAGTCTATTCAAGTTTAAAACAGATTACCCAGCCAGTACTTCTACTTGATAAGAACATGGTGAAGTTTAAGCAATGCAGTGGTAAGGAATTGTGAAATCCTCTGAAAACTAATTCAGCCATGCAAAGCAACAGTTCTACCTTTGCGCAGAACAGCAGTGCCCAACCTCCAGCCCTCAGAGCAGGGGTAGGCAACATTTTTTGGCTGGAGTGCCGAAAAACACCACAGTGCCTACCTTAGAAGATGCCGGAGTGCTGGCATGCCAGAAAAATAAAATGAGGGCAGGGGGTACGTGGCAAGATGCCCTGCTGCCCCTTGTCCCCTACCCAAAGCCCCTTGCTCTGAGCAGGGCTTGCAGTGTCCCAGCTGCCTGCTGGGAAGCAGCCTGGGCTCCCGGCTGGCAGCAGCTACCCAAAGCTGGGGTTGGCTGCAAACAGCTGTGCCAGGCTCCAGAGCCCCAGTATCAGCTCTGTACCAGCACATGCAGGTGCACCTCAGAGCCGGCAGTGGGGGAGGGGCCTGAGGCAGTGCAGCCCTGGTCTCTCCCCCTCTTCGGTGCACTTTGGACTGGGCTGTGCTGCCCTGCTGTCTGCCCCAAGGTACACGCGTAGTTGCCACCAGCATGGAGCTGATGCCGGAGCTGTAGAGCCCAGCGCAGCTGTTTGCACCCTGCTTGCTGCAGCTGCCCAGCGCCTGGGCTGGCTACAAACAGCTACGCCAAGCTCCAGAGCCCAGTCACCAGCTCTGTGCTGGGAGCGGGGGAGAGACTGAGGTTGCGCTGCCTCAGGCCCCTCCCCCACTGTCCACTCCGAGACGCGCCTGCACACGCTGGTACAGAGCTGATGCTGGGGCTCCGGAGCCCGGCACAGCTGTTTGCAGCCTGCCCCAGCTCTGGGTAGCTGCTGCCAGCAGTGGATCCTGGGCTGCTGCTTCCAGCAGGCAACTGAGACGCTGCAAGCCCTGCTCAGAGCAGCCCAGGCCCTGTCATTAGCAGCAGCTACCCAGAGCCGGGACTGGCTGTGGCGTGCTGAGCAAAATGGCCTCACATGCCGTGCTTGGCATGCGTGCCAGGAGTTGCCAACCCCTGCCTCAGAGCCATGACATCTGGCTCATGCAGTTGCCTGTGGCTTGGAAATGTTGTGGCAGGAGAGGGGTGACAGCAGTAATGCTGAAGCTCTGGTAGTGCTTCCACTAAACTTTCACTTTGCACAGAAATGGCTTAAAAATGTACATCCCCTCACATGGTTTGTAACCACAACTGTTCTAAATTTAGCATCTTTACCTGTGAACCCAGGATGACTTTAAATTTGAAATGGTGCCCGAATCATTAGATTCTATATGTGGAAAAGAAATTATTATAATTGTCCATGTATAGAATCTAAATACTGGGAGGGGCACCTTAAATCCATTTCCCACCATGCATTTCTACCCCCCTCCCCAAACTGCTGGGGCAGGAAAAGCAGTGGCAGGGAACAAGCAGCGGGTAAAGCAGTGCACAGGAGACGCAACAGACGGGCTGCTTCTCCCCACCAATTACTTCCTAGCCACATAACCAGGCAGTCCTCAGACTTATGACACAATTGGTTCCTGAAAACCACATCTTAATTTGAAATGTTGTAACTCGGAACTGATTTTCCTATAGGAACAATGTTATAAACGAGGGATTGGTTCACCAAAAATAACCCAGAATTTTGTACTCAGTCAATTATAGATGAGTAATATAGCTACATTAGTGTATTTATATTGTAAACAGCAATCACATTGGAAGGACTTCTTTGAGGTGACTTTGCTGGACTTTTTGAAGGGCTCTTGGTTGGAGTCTTCTCAGGAGTCTTGGCTGCAGGTTTTTCTGGAGTCTTGTCTGCTTTCTTAGTGTCCAAGGAAGCTTAGACAGATGTTCTCCAGGTAGTTGGGCATTGCAGCGAATTTATTCGCTGGTGTGGCGTGGTGTCAGTTTAGACGTTACAACACTTGATTTGATGGCAAAGTTGAAACAGGGCGTCAATTTATAAATGTTGTAAGTGCAAAATGTAACTCAAAACATTGCTAGTCGAGAACTGCCTGTACCCCTGTATACCACCCTTCCCCCCAACACACACACACCCCCACCCACCCCCTCTTAGCCTAAGCAGGAGCTCTGACTCCCTGTCAGCCTTAGCACAGAGCACATGGTAGCTCTGGCCCCAGCCAGGTGGCAGTGGTGGCAGCTCCAGCCCTGGAGCCACAGCAGCTCCTTTGCTAAGTGATTTTGTCTGCTCCCCTTAGGCCACATGCACTACATAGTCTTCCCTGGGTTAGGGCTGGAGCTGAAGCCAAAGCCATAGCAGCCACTTGCTCCAGGCTGTACTCAAATCCAAGGTGTTTTCCTTATGATGAATTGGGAGGAGGGGTGGGGGTAGAAAACCTTGTCTTGGATTTGAGTCAAATAAGTGAACTGGTTCAGCACAGTGTTTGATAATTTGCATCTACTTTCCAAGTAGTCTGCATTGGTGCCTACAGGACCAGTTACGTACAGATTGCCCAGTTCATCCTGCAGCATCACTTTTACTTGACAAACAGGAATTGTTGATGTACCAGGCAATAGCAAGAACAATAGCTTTGCTTTGCTTCATGCAAGCAATTAAGTGGATACTGATGGCCCCACCAAAAGCCTTATCCATCCATATCTCAAGTTAGGAATGTTCGCCTGACTCCTGGATAATGAGTAACTGTTGCCGTGTCACAAATAGTTAATATATTTTCCTGTGCAGTTGTTAAAGGAAGCAATGGAAAAAATTGAATGCTGTTAAATAGGTTCTTGGCTTTTTAT